TGCGTGCGTGCGTGCCTGCGTGCGTGCGTGCGTGCGTGCGTGCGTGCGTGCGTGGGTGGGTGGGTGGGTGGGTGGGTGGGTGGGTGGGTGGGTGGGTGGGTGCGTGCGTGCGTGCGTGCGTGCGTGCGTGCGTGGGTGCGTGGGTGCGTGGGTGCGTGGGTGTGTGTGTGTGTGTATATATATATATATATATATATATATGTGGTGCGGGCTATTGAGACGACGGGTGCCTTTTCTTGTTGACGGTGAAATACTTGTACTTAGCTATCCAAAACTCTGTCTGTTTCTGTCTATCTATCTAGCTCGTAACTATTTATGTATGCACTTGGTAACATGCACCTATTGTCACTCACTGTGTTGTTCACATTGTTTACTGTTGTTGTATTAGCACCCTCATTGCAGTTGTTCACATTACTAGCATCATTCATACTCTTACTACAATTGTCGTAAGCACTGTGCTCCTTGATTGATATGTATGATTATCACTATCACTTATGATGTATCACCAATGCAACTTTGATACTGTATTGTTCAAAGGATCTTGATTAATTGTGCGGTTGGGCTCGATATTGGCTTATTCGCCCTAACTACCGCGTAGACGAAGCATGGCTTTGTGGCTCTCTTGGTTCAGCTCCTCTACAACATGTGCAGGACGTACTTCGCAGGCTCAGAGTCGCCGGGGACAGCATGCACTCCCTGATGTCACAAGGATTGTTTGATCTTCCGAGCTTGCAGGCTTAAGAACAACCGGCCCGGCATCAACACACACACACACACACAAAGACCAACCTCTTGCTCGGCTTTCCCACCTCGGCTTGCAAGCATGCGCCTGATTTCTGTGCTGAGGCAACATGCAGAAGGTAGGAACAGTGACCGTCAAGATCCCTTGTCCTGCGAGGAAGTGCGACCTAGCAGCGGTACTGCTGCACAAACGTGTCCACTCGCGCATCTTGTCGCTCCGGTGTAACCAGGTCCATAAAGAAGTCCAATGGGTTGGCATGGAGTGGCACTTCGAAGCCTGCGTTGCGCAGGTAGTCGATGACGTCCTTTGCGGAAGGAGAGCGCCTGCGAAAGCTTCTGAAACAAGCCTGGCAAACTGATGCAGTCCTCCATCTTGCCATTGTAGACGGCACGTCCAGGGCCGGAGGTCATCAGTAGTAGCTCATCGAACAAATTAGCCACCTCTATCCTGGGCTGATGTATCACCTGGGCGGAATTAGCAAGGTTTGCTTTGCCAGATGAGAAGCACCAATACTACAACATGCCGAAACGACGAATTTACAAGCGAGCGGCGACGAACACCAGGATGTTGTAGTACCTGCACATGTGCTTCATGTACCTGTCCGCAGGAGGCGGTAACTTGAAGGATCCAGCACAGCTTTGGGAGTATTTCCTCTCACTTGCAAGACCCTGAACCGTCCACGTTTAAATTGCTAGGCGGGTAGCAGGTCTTGAAGTGGCTGTTGAACTGAAGCATGCAAGGTCGTGACCACTGTGTGAGGAGACTTTCCACGCCTTACGCAAGCTTCCGCGTCTGTCGCTGAGAGACCAGAGGTGGGCTCGTCGCAGAAGAACACCTGACACGGACGGCATCCAGGTAAGCCTGCATTGCCGCAGCAGGTATTCGTAAGTACTCACCATCAGGACATCATCTGCACAGTCCGACACCAGCACAAATCCTAGTCTCAAGTGTTGCATGCCGAATTGCCGAATTTAATGATTTGTAAGCTTTGGAGAATGCTCGGGAGCCGCACCCGTGCGCCGCTTGCGAGGCGCTTCGCCAAGGAAAGACGCCTGTAGCAAGCATGGGGATCATAAGAACGGTCAACGGTCGTTGTGGGCACGACAGCTGTTGCACGGTGTTTGTCTCTTGCTGCGTTCCTCTTCTGACCACCGGAAATCCCTCGCAAAGAGGTGCCATCGCCGATGTAGTGGTCCTCACAAGACTCGTTGCTGCTCAACGCCCAGAGCAGCTTGAGACTCGCTTGAGACCCAGGGCTTAATAGATAGCCCAACGACTCCGTTGAAACTGCTATGGCTCCTGCATAATGTCGGATCCTAATCTTGAAGCCTAAACCCCGAAACCCGAAAGCCCCCCAACCAGGAGAAACCCTCCCATCCTTCTTATAATAACCTACAACTCAAACCCAAAGCGCGAAAGCTCTTTTGACTCGGTGTCCTTCACCTTCTCGAGGCCCAGAACGGCCAGGCGCCGCTCCAGCCAGAGCTGCTGCATCTTTCGGGTCATGCGGCTCGGCCTGTGTAGGTTTGAGAGTTTAGGGGTTTAGGGTTTCAAGGCTTAGGTGATAAAGGGTTGAGGGTGTTATAGGGGGTTTAGGGGCTTTTGCAGTGGTCTAGGTAGGGCTTAGGGGTTCAAGGTGTAGGTTTCAATGTTTGGGGGGTTTTCGGTTTCAAGCGTGGGATTCGGGAGCCGGTGGGATTTCAAGGCACAGGGATCTTCGATCATGGGCTTCCCCCAGAAGAGCAGATGCCAAGCCGGGTGGGACGCGTTTGACGTCTCCTGCCCCGCCTTTCGATCTTGAGGCTGATGTTGAACTCCATCGCCTCATCACGACAGCACAGCTCACACAGCTCGCATCTCTGGCTCTGGCTGCTTTGCCGATGACGCGCACACAGATCGCTTCGATGACAAGTTACTGGCGTTAGCATGTGCCAGAAACGCCCAGGCCTGAGGGCCTGTGTACAAGCCCACGGGCCGGCCTCCATGACGGTCAAGCACTTCGGCATCGCCTCTTCTTGCGGCACGTACGCCGAGACCCGTGGAAACAAGTGGTCCCTGGGACGACCGTTGAAGTGGACGGTGCCAGAATAGCCTGCAGTTTTCCTCGGCCGTGAAGGACGGCTGGGCTTATGAAAATGGTGCCTGAGACATCTTGAAGCTAAGCGTCTTGTCGGCCAGGATGTCCTCAGAGATTTTACAACTCGTGTCAGGAAAGCACCGGCACTGGGAGACGCCGAGAAGCCAGGAGGGTGGACTTGCCACAGCCAGAGGGGCCCATGATGGCCACCAGGTTGCCGGACTCGTAGTGTCCGGAAATGGGCGCCTGAGTCGTGAGGCACCGGGACTTCGCGGGTCCAGTGCGTCTCTTTGCCGCCTAGCTTCCAGGATCTGCTTCTGTTGCCCGCCACGAAGCTGCGCGTCGAAGGAAACCTCTTTGAAGGTCATGGCGACATCGGAGGACCTGGAAAGCGGGGTGGACAGCGGGGTGCCGGAGTCGAAATCTCCCCACAGTCTCGCAGCCCACCCCTACGGCAGAGTCGGCATCGCCCCACCACCCCACAAGGCCTTAAAGCGGCTTTCGACCGAGCCTGTCCGAGGACTGGCTCCGCACAGAGTCACAGCTGGCGTCCCCCCGGCCCTTCTCGAGGCAGTCCAACGCCTAACACATGCGGCATGCTATTCCACGTCTACAAGCTGAGTTTGTAGAACTATCGGGATGTAGACCGGCATGCCTCTTCGCTCATTCGCATCTTGGATTTGAATCTCCGCCAGATGGCACCGTCGGACTTCTCCGCATCGCTTGTGATTTTAACATCTCAGTCGGCCACATCACTTCTCACCGCTTGCGTGACTTTGAAAGCCTGTCAGTGCCATGCCCTCGGCCCCGCCTAGGCTTCTGCTGGTTCTTTCGCCGGAGTCCTGGCGCTGATCGCAGGTGAGACTGAGGCAAAGCCCTGGTGAGTAGGACAAAGCCAGCTGCAACTACATCAATCTACACTAATACTAATATTGTGCACTAGCGCCTGTAAAAGACGGTTGAGAAAAATGGTGTGGTATCCAAGCCCTTGGCAACCCGATGGAACCCACGCCCCGCAATCACCAGCCCGGTCCGCACGGCGAAACTTTCCCAGCAGCCATGCCGGAGGAAACGAGCCCGAACGCCGGGTTTCCCGCACCTGTCGTAGCCGACTTGGCAACTCCATACACTACTGGCAATTGGGGTCTCGTTGGCGTTGTTCTTGACCCTTCAACTTGCGGATTTCTGGCGACATGTTTCATGGTACGTGCTAGCCGCTAATTCCTGCAACTGCTGAAAGCCCTTGTGGCTCATTTTCAACCCACCGGCCTCCTCCGGTTTCCCAGCTTCCGCAGGAAGAGCTCCCGCCATCAAAGAAGCGCTACAAGAAGAAAACTCAAAGGCACTTGCTAAATCCAAAGTAATCTTGCATTTTACCTGTTTGCTTCTCCAGACCCTTCAGCGAACCAACTGCCTTCAGCGAACCAACTGCAACATCATGTCACAACAGAGGTCAGACTGTGACTTCGATTTGCAGAGCGAGGGGACCTTCTGTCAATGGCTTCCGGCATTTGCAACACGGTGATCCGCTGCTTGACTCTTTCATCTCGACATCTTGTTCTCTGTCCCTCGGCATTCCGCAGTATCACCACACAGAACTATCCGAAACAACAGTCAGTTCTCTGTCAGCTCGTCGGGGCTTGGTGGCCCGCTGCACGATCCCACGAAAGTGAACACAGGCACTGGCTTGCCAGTATGGGACCATCACATACCTTCTTTCCACAGTCGCAACTGCTCTTCGCCCACTCCACCCCTGAGTGGATGTCCCGAGAAAAAGCCGTTCAGACGCGCAACCTGAAAAACAGTGCTTTCTACAACGCCGATGCTCCCGTTCTCAGAACTTGTATCAGTTGGACTATACGTACACATACGGCCCACGTCTTCTCCGGCTTTACACCCCGAACTGCATGCGTCAACGACACATGCCAAAGTGCCTCGGCACACTTCGCCAGTGGCCAGGCAAGTTGAAGTACATAGTCAAAACTTTCAGAAGTGCACTCGTCGGATGAGCCGTTCAATTGAGGAGTAGCTTGCAAGACGAGAAATGCGGCCGATTCCCATCTCGCCAGTCGGTGCGAATTGAGCTTTCGCCATTTTTGCATTGTTGTGGTTCCGTGCAGGTGGAGGATCTTGCATCATCTACAAGGATCTCTGGAAGATCGAATTCGCGTTGCAGACGCATCAGCTCGTGGCCAAAAGCCTAAGCCAATGAACGCTATTCAAGATGCCAAGGTTTTGCGCTGAGAATTGGCATTAAGTTCGACGTGTTTCCAGTCGCAGTGTGAGGGAAGCCTGATCGCACGGCTTCTAGGCTTTAGAGAACTCTGGAAGCTGAAGCATGGCAAAGGGATGCACCAATAACTCATTTGATTCACGACACACTCAACCAGGCGCACAGCCCTCGGATCTTCAACTTTGTCAGCAAATCCAGGTGCCAGGCCGGCAAAAGGAGGATCGGCACCACACCAGCTCCGTTGTGCCGGCCTCCGACAAGCACTGCTCCACATGGTGCGTGCCACATGTTTCCCTATGTGAGCAGGTTGCCATAAAGACTGAAAAGCCCCGTAGGACATGTAGACAGTGCATCGGCTCATCACCTACAGTACCCCTACAGTGGTTCAGCTCATCACCTACAGCACCCTACATGGTCTGCATGAATGAGCGTTGGAATGCATTGGAAAGGCATCAAGTCAAACGACTGGCCTCCATGCCCCCGATGAGGTCGGCATCTTCTGGCCTCAACGGCTTAACGGATGCTGCCGGGACCACGGCTTCTCACTCAAACGGCTGAGCTTCCGGCTCCGAGCAGGACGACCAAGGGTCCTCGGATTCCTCCACTTCCTCACATGAGATATGCTGTCCCTCTTGGCGCCCCTGCAAAGTCAAGGTTGACATGTACCCAATCCTCTTCCAGGGGGTACACACGGATCGGGAACTCGGCGCTGTCCAGGGGTTGCGATAGGAGACATGACCTCTCACACTTTCGCAAGCTACTTCAGCTTCGCTCGCGCACTACATCTCGACGGCAGGTGGCTTGTTAGAAGACAAAACTTGTAAGTTTCTTCCATGCCACAAGTCTGTGAAATACCCTTGGCGACGAAATCCGCTCGCTGACTTGCTGCTTGAGCAATCATCTGTGGCCCCCACCACGTCGAGCTCCTCGGCTGATGCGTGATCCGTTCAGTCTGAGCTAGTCTAGCCTAGCTCAGTACCTCAAGGAAAGCCCCCTGCAAATCTTGCAAAACACTTACGAACATGTGCAGACGAAGTGCGGCAGCAATTGTGTCAAGGGAGCATCTTCAGCATCAAAAAGTGTGCTCAAAGGACGTTCGTCGTCGCTATCACCCGGAACTTCGTTGGACTCAACCTTCAAACAGCATTGAAAGAGCCGTCAACATGACAGTTCAGACGGAACGGAAAGCCAATGGGCGACGATTGGTGTTTGCTAAGCCTGCTAGCATCTACACAAGACCCTGGCAGGCACCTTCCGTTGCCTGGCAGGTGGTGGCGGAGTCCTCGGCGCTCGTCAACATGATCAGTCTGCTTGGTAGGCAACTGCCGAATGCACAAATCAAAGGGAAGCCGAGGTGCCGCAGGGGTGCAGGAGGCTTTCTGCCTGTTGCATCCTCGCCCGCCAGAATTAGGCGCATCGATCCGGCCGTCGTGCTGGGATTCAGCACGGCTTCGGTGCTTCCCGCATTCCTGGCGAGCCCAGCCGGCTCACGAGCCTGGCAGCGCACAGCCGGAAGATCCTGGCCGCAAGAAGCAAGCGACATTGAAGAAAAGCACATCTCCAGGTTCAAGACTCCGCCTGAGCGCTTCGGTTTGTCTTCCGCCGTTTCCGGCCCTCCAACGAACACCAGCGCTCAGCTCCAAAGACCACACATGTATGTTGTGTCACACTTTCGGCCTGCATCGTCGTGGAGTACGTGCGGCTCAGCTTTGCAGCGATAGCCTTTCCATGGCCAGGAAATGCTATAGCGTACAGAGCGCCAGGACAACAGTCACGAGCTTAACAGCCATTTGCATCATGCCTTATGCTCTTCTCTGCCAAGGTCTCCGGCATGTACAATATCTAATCCTACGTTGAGAGAACCGCCAGACAAAGATCATCTTATCCAGTCATCAAGATCACGCTCATCGGCCATCGGCGACATCAAAACCCGTAGCACAAGTAGCAGTAGCAACACTAGCAACAGTAGCATCACTGGCAGTAGTACTAGCAGCTGTGGTAACAATTGTCGTCGTCGAAGTGGGCGTAGAGGTCGTGGTCGTCGTCTTCGTCGTCGTAGTGGTAATAATAGTAATAATAACAGTAATCATAACAACAAGAATACTAGAAGGAGGAGAAGGAGGAGGAGGAGGAGGACGCCGAGGCGAGCATCGCGACATGGCAGGCCTGAGCGAAGCCATGGCGCTTCGGCAGCGAAGCCGAACCGCTGGAGATCCTAGTTACCTGGCAGGATGCCGAAGTGTGTCAAGCGCTTAGGAAGGAAAATGTCCAAGGTGTGTCTTCGCTACGAGCTACGGTTCAACATAGCAAGACTTGCCACGGAAAATCAGCGTTACACACTGCTACACATCTCCTGGCCTGCAGAGCAGTCCAAGGTCTGCGCTTGGCAGAGCGCAAACTGCCAGAGGCTGAATGAGGATGAGCGATTAACACTGATTGGGAAGCCGACAGTTGGCCTCAACTGCTCAACGGGCGCTTGCATCCGGCCACCTGGACCAAGCTGAACCCGGAAAGACAGTGGCCCTTGCAGTCACTCGGTAGTCCCCGCAGCCAGCTTGTGGCTGCTAAGTGCTCGACTCGAGATGGCGCGGCAAGAAATCTTGGAAGGGAGCTCCGTGAGCCTCAGTCTGCTATTGGCCGAAAACCCTCCATCTATTATATTATATTATGTTATATTATATCAGCATCTTCCGGGTCTCGAGCATCGCTTTCTCGTCCTCTGAGGCCTGACTCTGAAACTCTTCTGCTCCAGCCGCAGTGCACTCTGGCACGGTTCAGATCAACACTGAGATCTCGGCTTCTTCAAGAGGCTCGACCGGCTCTGGCTCTGCAGCACCTCAGCCGCAAAACGCAAAACATCGCAACACTAAATCTTCCATGTTGCATACGTAACAATCCAGTCGGCTGAGCAGCTCGTTTGCAAGGACTTGCAAGCCGGTGATTCCCAGCCCCTGTCCAGCAAAGATGTGGCGGGGCGGGGGTTAACTCTTTCGCAGTCAAAAGCCCTGATAGCCCTGGTCAACACAAAGAGGCGACTCACTCTTTGAGGCTTCGTCCTCCGGCCTCGGCCCTTCTGCAGAGCACACCTCGGCCTTCGGCTCCTCCGGCTTCGGCGGCTCCGGCGGCTCCGGCGGCTCCGGCTTCGGCTCTTGTGGCGGCTCCTGCGAGCAACAGGCGCCCGAGATGGGAGGTCCCTCTCCTTTTTGTTGGCGTCTGCTCCTTGGCCACTCGGCACATGGGCACGGGACCTGGGCATAGAATTGGGAAATGAGGACAGCCGCACATCGGAACGAACCGATGGGCCGCAAACTGAAGAACAAGCGTGAGCACGAAGAGGCTGACCTGTTCAGGGAAGAGGGAATTCACAGGATCACAGAAGCTGAAGGAGTGCGCTCTCCGAGTCTCCGGTCCTCGGAGGGGTTGCTGGGTTCTGCTTCTGCAACTCCTTTCCACGACGTTGCCGCCACCAGGCTCGCTTGGCACGCGGACGAACGCCGGCGCCTCTTCGCGGCGGCACAGAGGCACGGGGCCTCGGCATACTCTCCGCAGCAGCTCCAACCACGAAGAGTGCCTAGAATTCCTGAACCGCACCATGCAGCACCTGAGGTGTCGGCTGAAGAAAAGCTGACCTTGACTTGGGGATGGTGTGCTGGTCGCCTGACGCCACAGGCTTCGTCAGTAGCCGATTCGTTCAATGCGCCAACCGGCCGACCTGGCCAAAATGCCAAGTGAGGCAGTAAGGGGGTATTTCGGGAGTCGCTCAGCATCGCGGTAGACATTGGAAGCAGTCGGCCGACGATCCGTCAGCTCTTGCAACCCAGTCCATGGCGGATGCATTCTCGACAACTGCTCAAACGTGCTGTCAAGGACAGACGGCCGACGATCCGTCCGCTCGGTCTGATCTGACTGGCGACACACTATCACAAAAGCAACTGAGAGCTCAGAGAGAAAGCAGCAAGGCTCATGCGATCGCCGACGATCCGTCAGCACATCGCCGCCAGCTATGGCTGCAAGCAACTTACTAGGTCATAACTTCTGACACTGTACAAGATGTTCCTTTCGACTTTCGACACCGGGTAGGGTGGAAGGGCGTCTGAACAAGTCAGCTCTGGGGCCCGAGTGGTCTGTACAGCCCTACTGGTAGTCCTACACTGCACACTGGAGTAAAGACGGCTATGCGCTCGTCCTTTCTGGATAAGAGCCGGCAAGATCTCACCACCGTCTGATCACCATGAACGAGGGCGGAGCTTGATGGACACCGGGGTAGCCGGCTCGTTGCTGACAAAGTTCGTGGTCTCCATCAACGGCGGCTTGTCCCATTGCTCGAGGATGAACTTTTGCACCACTTTGGCGATGACCAACAGGCCCTCGTACTCTGCCAGACGCATTCCAAGGCAAATTCTCGGGCCGTAGCCGAAGGCAAGGCTATCGAAGGGTGCATGTTTGACAATGCCATCAGGCCCGAGCCATCGCGAAGGGCGGAAAACCTGAAGATCGTCCCCCAACTTCTTCTTGACTTCTGGATCATTCTTCAAGATGTTCCGGATGGCAATGAGGAACTCCGTGCCTGCAGGCAGCTTCCGGCCAGCCAGCGTGATTTCTTCCGTGGATTGCAGCTCAATGGCATTTCCCGGGCCGTGGAACCGGAGAGTCTCGAGCCACACTGCCTGCACGGTGGGGAGCGTCTCAAGCTCAGTCAAGGAGATCTCGCCGTCTGGCAGCATCCTGACCTCCTGGGCAACAGCCGTCTGAAGCTGCAGATCCTTGGACAAGTAGTAGAATGACCAGCACAAAGCCAAGCTGGTTGTGTCCGTCCCCGCGAGGAACAGAACCGTCAGATTGTCAATCAGCTCGCTGTGACTGAACTTGTCACCGTCCATATCCTTAAGTTTGTCGGCAATGCACCGGCCACCGCCTTTGGCTGCCTGTAGGATTTGCTCGGAACGATTGTAGAGGCGCTTAGAAACCTGCGCACCATTGTCAAAGAAACTGGCCAATCCCGGAACTTTCCAGTAGGGCAACGGTGCAAACATCCGTGTCTGGAAGGCCTGGAAGAGTGCTTTGACATCTGATACGATGTCAGAGCTCCTCTTCTCTAGCATCCGCATCTCCTGCCCGAGCGCAGTCTTGCAAATTACATCTGCGGTGTACAGCGGCAAGAGCTCCGAGAAGTTCGTCTCTCCTCTTTCGGAGAGATCGCGGCCCATTTCCTTGAGAAGTTGCTGGGTGATGCTCTCCACTGCCGGAATGTAGCTCTCCACATTCTTCCTGCTGAATGCAGGTGACAGAACACGCCTCTCTCGCTTCCAGCGCTCTCCCTCTGAGAAGAAGCTGCCGGCAATAATGTCCACCACATTCTGAATGCGCCAGTTCTTTGGCATTTTGAACGGGCGAAGAGAGAGAATGGGATGCGCTTGCTCCCAATTGCAGCACACCACTGTGCGAGACCCGGCCAGGTCCATCTCGTAAACGCCCTCCTGCCCATACTTCTCAGCCCACTCCTCCAACTTCTCCGTAAGGAACTTCGCCCCTGGTCCGAGCTCCGGAAGCACTCCAAGCAGCCAGTACCCGGGTACTTCAGGAAAGCGGTCGACACGGGAACGGAGCAAAAGTCTGACTGCCAGGAGGGACGCGCCAGCACCAGCCAGTGCAATGGTCACCGCCCCTCGCCGGTCAGCAACATGGTCCGCAACGGACTGGATGGCTTGTGCCAGCGCCATGGCGTCTGAAAAGGAGGTGTGTGGAGAGAACTTGCCGCGATCACAAATGCTTCGGATCGCCCACATCGCTCCATGCATGGACATGTAGCATCGCGCGGAATGTCCGTGGCATGCCCTGCATGGATTGCTTGGTGATGAGCAGGCGCCTCTGTGCGTCGCCGCATGGGCATGGGGCCTCGGCATGCAGAGGTCCACAACAGCTCCAACAACCTTGGACTCACCACACATACAACACCGCACCTGATCTCAGGGTTCTGGCTGAAGAACAAATGCGCATCTTTCCTGAAGGATGCCGAGGGCCTCCGTTGCGCTTGCAACCCATGCAGCCCGCCATGACTACGTATTATTGATATTTATCTGCCCAATGCGAGGCCACCGCGACAATGAAAAGGATGACTTCAATTTCTTACACCTGAGTGATCCGTCTGAACGGCCGTGCCTCGGGGAGAGCGGCGTCTCTAACACATCCTGGCACGGGTGCTTCTCGTCATTCAATCGCAGCATCTGCAACATGTCAGGCCAGGCTGCGGGCCATGTCGACTGTTCAACAATGGCGCATGCCACAATGACTTCGACATGAGCAATCGTAACGAGTGCAGCGCAGATGCCTCCAGCCTTTCTTCATCTGTGTCGGCTGGGGAGCCTCGGTGTGTGACATGTACACTACTCGCACAACCACCAAAGCCCAAGACGTCGCGATACTTATTTTATTATCAATGCAGACTTACAGGATCAAGCTGGCAACAGAAATAAAGGTTAAGAAGGGCTTTCGGCCTATTCGGTGTCTGAGACGGCCACTGAACAGGCTTGAGAGGGTGGTTTCCTCAACACGTGGCGCCTGCCTCACACGAGACTCACAAGGGCTCCGGAACGTGGAACCGTGGCTTCCTACTCTAGCGCGTCCCGGGCGATGTTTGGGCCTGCCGGAGTCCGCTGAATGACCATCTCCCGCTGCCTCCTGGGCTTCTCACACACACACACACACACTCAACAGGCCGACCTGGCCAAAATGCCAAGTGAGGCAGTAAGGGGGTATTTCGGGAGTCGCTCAGCATCGCGGTAGACATTGGAAACAGTCGGCCGACGATCCGTCAGCTCTTGCAACCCAGTCCATGGCGGATGCATTCTCGACAACTGCTCAAACGTGCTGTCAAGGACAGACGGCCGACGATCCGTCCGCTCGGTCTGATCTGACTGGCGACACACTATCACAAAAGCAACTGAGAGCTCAGAGAGAAAGCAGCAAGGCTCATGCGATCGCCGACGATCCGTCAGCACATCGCCGCCAGCTATGGCTGCAAACAACTTACTAGGTCATAACTTCTGACACTGTACAAGATGTTCCTTTCGACTTTCGACACCGGGTAGGGTGGAAGGGCGTCTGAACAAGTCAGCTCTGGGGCCCGAGTGGTCTGTACAGCCCTACTGGTAGTCCTACACTGCACACTGGAGTAAAGACGGCTATGCGCTCGTCCTTTCTGGATAAGAGCCGGCAAGATCTCACCACCGTCTGATCACCATGAACGAGGGCGGAGCTTGATGGACACCGGGGTAGCCGGCTCGTTGCTGACAAAGTTCGTGGTCTCCATCAACGGCGGCTTGTCCCATTGCTCGAGGATGAACTTTTGCACCACTTTGGCGATGACCAACAGGCCCTCGTACTCTGCCAGACGCATTCCAAGGCAAATTCTCGGGCCGTAGCCGAAGGCAAGGCTATCGAAGGGTGCATGTTTGACAATGCCATCAGGCCCGAGCCATCGCGAAGGGCGGAAAACCTGAAGATCGTCCCCCAACTTCTTCTTGACTTCTGGATCATTCTTCAAGATGTTCCGGATGGCAATGAGGAACTCCGTGCCTGCAGGCAGCTTCCGGCCAGCCAGCGTGATTTCTTCCGTGGATTGCAGCTCAATGGCATTTCCCGGGCCGTGGAACCGGAGAGTCTCGAGCCACACTGCCTGCACGGTGGGGAGCGTCTCAAGCTCAGTCAAGGAGATCTCGCCGTCTGGCAGCATCCTGACCTCCTGGGCAACAGCCGTCTGAAGCTGCAGATCCTTGGACAAGTAGTAGAATGACCAGCACAAAGCCAAGCTGGTTGTGTCCGTCCCCGCGAGGAACAGAACCGTCAGATTGTCAATCAGCTCGCTGTGACTGAACTTGTCACCGTCCATATCCTTAAGCTTGTCGGCAATGCACCGGCCACCACCTTTGGCTGCCTGTAGGATTTGCTCGGAACGATTGTAGAGGCGCTTAGAAACCTGCGCACCATTGTCAAAGAAGCTGGCCAATCCCGGAACTTTCCAGTAGGGCAACGGTGCAAACATCCGTGTCTGGAAGGCCTGGAAGAGTGCTTTGACATCTGATACGATGTCAGAGCTCCTCTTCTCTAGCATCCGCATCTCCTGCCCGAGCGCAGTCTTGCAAATTACATCTGCGGTGTACAGCGGCAAGAGCTCCGAGAAGTTCGTCTCTCCTCTTTCGGAGAGATCGCGGCCCATTTCCTTGAGAAGTTGCTGGGTGATGCTCTCCACTGCCGGAATGTAGCTCTCCACATTCTTCCTGCTGAATGCAGGTGACAGAACACGCCTCTCTCGCTTCCAGCGCTCTCCCTCTGAGAAGAAGCTGCCGGCAATAATGTCCACCACATTCTGAATGCGCCAGTTCTTTGGCATTTTGAACGGGCGAAGAGAGAGAATGGGATGCGCTTGCTCCCAATTGCAGCACACCACTGTGCGAGACCCGGCCAGGTCCATCTCGTAAACGCCCTCCTGCCCATACTTCTCAGCCCACTCCTCCAACTTCTCCGTAAGGAACTTCGCCCCTGGTCCGAGCTCCGGAAGCACTCCAAGCAGCCAGTACCCGGGTACTTCAGGAAAGCGGTCGACACGGGAACGGAGCAAAAGTCTGACTGCCAGGAGGGACGCGCCAGCACCAGCCAGTGCAATGGTCACCGCCCCTCGCCGGTCAGCAACATGGTCCGCAACGGACTGGATGGCTTGTGCCAGCGCCATGGCGTCTGAAAAGGGGAAGTGTGTGGAGAGAACTTGCCGCGATCACAAATGCTTCGGATCGCCCACATCGCTCCATGCATGGACATGTAGCATCGCGCGGAATGTCCGTGGCATGCCCTGCTGGATTGCTTGGTGATGAGCAGGCGCCTCCGTGCGTCGCCGCATGGGCATGGGGCCTCGGCATGCAGAGGTCCACAACAGCTCCAACAACCTTGGACTCACCACACATACAACACCACACCTGATCTCAGGGTTCCGGCTGAAGAACACACGCGCATCTTTCCTGAAGGATGCCGAGGGCCTCCGTTGCGCTTGCAACGCATGCAGCCCGCCATGACTACGTATTATTGATATTTATCTGCCCAATGCGAGGCCACCGCGACAATGAAAAGGATGACTTCAATTTCTTACACCTGAGTGATCCGTCTGAACCGCCGTGCCTCGGGGAGAGCGGCGTCTCTAACACATCCTGGCACGGGTGCTTCTCGTCATTCAATCGCAGCATCTGCAACATGTCAGGCCAGGCTGCGGGCCATGTCGACTGTTCAACAATGGCACATGCCACAATGACTTCGACATGAGCAATCGTAACGAGTGCAGCGCAGATGCCTCCAGCCTTTCTTCATCTGTGTCGGCTGGGGAGCCTCGGTGTGTGACATGTACACTACTCGCACAACCACCAAAGCCCAAGACGTCGCGATACTTATTTTATTATCAATGCAGACTTACAGGATCAAGCTGGCAACAGAAATAAAGGTTAAGAAGGGCTTTCGGCCTATTCGGTGTCTGAGACGGCCACTGAACAGGCTTGAGAGGGTGGTTTCCTCAACACGTGGCGCCTGCCTCACACGAGACTCACAAGGGCTCCGGAACGTGGAACCGTGGCTTCCTACTCTAGCGCGTCCCGGGCGATGTTTGGGCCTGCCGGAGTCCGCTGAATGACCATCTCCCGCTGCCTCCTGCATGGGCTTCTCAAGGGTCCAACAAAGGCAGACTCGAACGGATGGGAGCAAGGGGACGATCCTCAGTCCACCCGAGCATTGTCTTGCATCCCGCAGCCTCACAACGCAGTCGCGCCAGCTCCAGGAGCTTTGCTAGACACACTATTGCTGCCATCTTCGCGAACACTCAGCCTAGGCAGGGTTTGGAAGGTCAGAAAATCAAAAGCCCTGAAGAACCCGGAAAGCAAAACTTTTGGAAGTTGCGAAAAGCCCGAGAAGTCTCAAAAAGGTCGGAAGTTGGAGAAACACACACACACACATTCGAAAGTCGCGAACAGTCCGAAGCGTCCCGAAAGGTTCGAAAAGCGCAGAAAGGTGCCAAAGGTCCAAAAATCGAAAAATCAAAAAGAAACCCCAAAAGATCGAAAAGTGCAGAAGCGTGCGAAGTCATAAAGTCGAAACTGTTCGACGCTCTTCGATTTTATGACTTTGCCTTTTGCCGTCGTATGATTAGGTTCGCCGGCTAGCAGAACCACCTCCCGCTTGCATTCTTGGCCATCCTGCGCCAAAAGCAGTGTTGATCCGGCTGTCCTGCCTGCTCGTCTATCTTCATTGTGACTTTCGGTTTTCAGGTGTACAGTAGGGTTGGCGATGTCGATGTCGCTTCACAGACACAGACACAAACACACACGCACACGCACTGAACATCCACCTGGACACGTTGTGTCCAGGGTGCCTGCGATTTCGCTGGTTAGCACCGCAGTTGGTAAAACGACTGGGAGACGTGTCTGCGGCCGAAGGCCTTGACCAGCCCCTTGCGCACCGTCGTTGCCAGCACCTCGCTGCGCAGGTGCGGCTCAAGTCATGAAAACTGGATGGCTGAAGAGCCTCCACATCAGAGTCATCGGAGATACCAACCGCCTTACAGTCAGGAGCATCTCAAAATCTAGTGAGCTGATAGCGAACGACTGCTTGAGGCCGGCACCTCGCCACCGCTGGCCTACACTGGCTGGAGTCCGCAGTGAAGATGAAGTTTTAATTCGCCCATGCTTGATGATCTTAACATCCCTTATAGTCTCCGTCAATTTATGGTAGACTATGCGGCCCAAACCCCTACTCTACTGCTTCAGGCGTCCAAAGGATCCCACAGCAAGCAGCCACTTTCTCTCCGAGCTCAGATGTGTACATTGGCTGTAGCCTCTCCGGCTAGGAGAAAGCGATAAGCGATGCTCTTAGAGCAGCAATCCGGTGGAGCCGAAGAGAGGCCTATGAGGGCTCTGGGCGCTTTCTGAAGCCTTGAGCTTCTGCCTTTGGCCTATGACGAGCCCTGGGATGCCCTTGCCCTGAAAGGCCTCCTACCAGTGACATGCGCGCAAAAAGTTGAAGCCGGGCTGCTTGCTTCGGTGCGGAGGCTGGCCCCCGGAGCATTCTGAGAGAAAGCACTAGGAGGCCAAAGCCAGGAACTCTCAAGCAAGCAGCAATGCATGAAATCTCTTCATCGCAGGAGTGCATGTCTGTGCCCACCCAGAACCTATGGTACAGCAGGGGGTTATCCTATTGTGGGCAACATGCATTGTCCCTGTGCCCCGTGCTGGCAGATCCAGACACACGTTGCTCGAGCGGATGTCTCCACGAAAAGTACGCTCGTAACGCCCAAAAGTTTTAAGTCCCGGATGTCTCTGCCACGGGGCACAGGGGACTGACCTCTAACTGCTGAATTTGATCTCAAGCCACGGACTCGGGCGCTCCGAAGTCATGCGGAAGCCTTTTCAGCCTGGCACTGCAGTTGAGCATGTGCTGGGCAGCTGGGATCCACGACATCTCTGTCTGGCCGATGCTGCTTGCATCAAGAAGCAGCATGATCTCACGTCCAGTCGTCGCCCTGGGCAAAAATTCACGCCTTGGTGAGTCAACCGAACGACACGCAGCAGCAAACCGGCTTGCTCAACGAGCAGAGACAAGAAGGATTGGTACACCAGGGTTGGGAAGTTCCGTCAGAGTCGAGATCAGTAGGCCCAGGTCTTGTTGCCAAGATGCATATCTTGGTTGGTAAGGCCTTGGCTCGTGGCTTTCCAGCATCTGCTGCATATCAAGCTAGCACTTCAGAGATCCCGGTTGACGGGATGTGCTGTCGGGGCACTGAGGATTGTAGCCTGCCAGGGTCATTGAAGCAACATGGTTTTTGGAACTTTTCAACTTGAGCCTCACAATCTGCCCCCGTTCCCATTTCTTCGTGCTTGGGCCTTGATAGCTGTTCTGCTGTCGTGGCTGGTAGCTCCTAGGCTGGACTTCATGCTCGTGAGCTCGAGGCAAGAGCAGGTGCACAGGCACAGGACACACAGCCCAAAACTTGCGGACGTGCCGCTGCGAAGACGGACCTGCACAGGGCCAGTCAGCAATGGGGACAGAACCAGCCGACTGCTTTAAGCCGCGCCTCCATAGGAGGCAGAACTCTGGTAGGGAGCTGGGTAGGGCGTCGGCTGGTAGCCGTTGCCGGAACCAGGGGATGGGTCGTAGCCCCTGGGCAGGCAAATCAGACACAAGTTACGTACAGGTGCTCCTTGCACGCCAGGCAGGCTTGAAAAAACACCAAGTACGAAGCCTGTCTGAACCTAAATCATCCTTCAAAACAAATGCGACGCCTCACCCAAGTGCCCCAGTGTTCCGAAAAGCAGAGCCCTACTCCGATCTACACTGGCCCACGTCAACTACTTCAATCACCCGTCCGGGGCGCGAGTCGAAGTCCTCAACATCCTGTCACAAGAACTCAGTAAAGCGTAGGACTGTAGGACGTTTGGCTGTCAGCTTCGGGCGACATTGGTTCGGGTTTGCCACAACCACAGTCGACGACTTCAGACTGTGCTACGCCCCGGCATCCTTCAGCGAGACGGACATGTCCGAGTCTTGCACGGAGATCCCCCTGCCAGAAGCGACAAGACCTGAAGCGGGGCAAAACGCTCCATAATGCTGACTCGGTATGGGACTCGGAAACTACATGCCGGCCATCTGCTACATGCCGGCCATCTGAGGAACGGACGCTTCTCTTCCATTTGCTCTTCATACATTCTGTGGAAATAGATTCCTTCCGACGAAGCACAAGGGTAATCTTGAGTCGAATCTTCTTCGACTCACATTCCTTGCTCCCGGCTAAACATGCATCCGACCCGGACACCGACAACCAGACATTGCTCAAGAACGTAACAATCTACGAAAGCCCGAAACTGCGTGCGCTCATGAGCCTCCGCCGATGCAAGCCTCAATCATCACAGATGGAGACATTTCAAGCAAGACGCTCGGCCTCTCTCCTTCTCCCTTGCTTGTTGCTTGCTTTGCTCAAAAGTATGGGCGAAGAGAAAGAGCACGGAAAAGAGAAATGAGGCGGAAGAGTAAACAAATACAAGCTGAGTCTAGTCGTCCTTGACTAGCTCTCACTCCTTCTTCTTCTTCTTTGTCTTCTTTTTGTGGGTATACCTCTCCCTCCCTCTCTCTCTCGCAGAGCCCGAGTGGCGAGCCCGAGTGGCGAGGCCTACTCGGGGACCGCCCTTAGAGTAGCTGCCTGTCTGCATGGGACACTGAGTTGGTGCGTATGTCCACCTCTGGCCCTTTCTTTTCTCGGTCATCACGGCCTATTGACCTCTCCTGTCGGAAGCCTTCGTTTCGGCTCTGAAACAGCCGAGTCGCGATGATCGCCAGCACGGTAAGCAGAGGCCACCACTGCGAGAAGAAGCTGGGCTCGGGCCGTGGGCCCTTAAGTGGGTGCTCCTGGAAAAGCAAGGTTCTGCGAAAGTTTCAAAAGCTGCAGACTTGGATATCACCCCGATAAGTGCAGGATGGCATCCGATGGCTATCAGAGTAGCTTGTGACTCTTCGCTCCTAGAACCTTTCAAGTCTGATTTCATGGTCCTTCGTTCCCACCAGCGGCTCGCTAACGAGAAGAGGACCTTTGCCGGCTGTCGTTGTTGACACCTTTTCTCACTCTTGCTCTGTTTGCACAGGCTACCTGACATCGACGATGGCGGCAACGCAGCGCCACTGGTCGCTGCTTTCAAGTTGGACGGCAGCGCAGGGACCTGGGGCAACTTGGACGAGGTTTCCAAAAGCACCTTTAATTCAATATTAAACACTCACCTCTCGCTTTCCGTATCTCGCTTTGTCAAGTGGCCTTCAGCTTGGCCAAAAGCTTTGCTGGGTCCGGGCCTTACAGGACAGAATACAAGTTGCAACAGAAACTGAAAACACCTGGCTGCACTCCAAAGCGTCCAAGAGTCTTCCGACAGGGTCGTTCAGGGTGAAGGCCTGACAATATCAACAACATCGAGAGGTTTTGACACAAACAAAGCCACGAGGACTGCTTCCGCTGCCCGGAAACTCCAAACACCCAAGCAAAACGAAAAGGCCAGCAGGCAGCCGAGGTGGTTTCTAAGTTCCATCTTTTCACTCACCCTGGAACTATCTAGCGTCGAGAGTCTGTGAGCATGGACCCACCAGCCGTTGGTGTGAGCTTCACCTGGCGCACAAGCAATAAGAATCGACCTGTCACTCATTTGCAGAGAAGCTCATGCATATCAGCACAGCAAGATGCGGCACGATCAGCGCGAGATGGATGCGTGTCAAACAGGTATAGTGATCGATACTGGAGCACTGACGCTTTCCGAATACTCCCTGGCCTGGGCCTTCAGATCGTTGGCACTTGGTCCTGCTGTTTTGGGGTTTTGGGATTCAGGATGGCATCACACGGGATCACACGGTGAGGTTTCTCTGAGCAGTGGGACCTTCGGGCGGCCCTGGGAGCATGCTACCATCTCTGAAAAGGACCCAAGTATGCCAAAAGCCCGCAGCACCAAAATCATCACAGATCACGGAAGCGCGGAATAACTAAGCATTCACGCTGGTAATGAGCAGCTGCAGGAAGGCAACTAGCAACGTGGACGTTCTGCGGGCCATGGGTGCATGGGGGGTGTTCATTCCGGCAGCCGTGTCCTTCTTGTACCTGATCCACTGGAACACCCAAGGTCTGTGAGAGTGCCTGCGCATACCTGGACAGCATTCAAGGATCGCCGTGACATATGTCATGCCATGTCGGAAATGATGTGGAATGCAGATAATCATCCTCACCAGAAGCGACATGATTCACCGTACTAGCGAGAGAGAGGGAGAGAGACACGGAGAGACAGAGACAGAGAGAGACAGAAAAACAAATACATTGACAAGGGGTCAAAAAATGCCTCTTGTGCAAACCCCGAACGGGTTCCGGGCATCCGGTGGTTTTGGCAACTCTAGCAGGTGGGGGGAAAGAGACATGGCGATGGGCACTCACGAATCCGGCTAGAAATATCACGAATCGAGCTTGTGCTCTGTTCTAAAGCCAGTCACGTTCACATTAAGATATCTGGGACACCACCCTGATGTAAAGGACCCGTGGACAGCTCAACCTGCACAACTCAACGCGACAGTTCAAGCCAAAGATCCTTGCTTGCAGGAGGTGGATTTCCTTGGTCGAGAGGTGACATGCTGTGCATGCAGTTGCTGTCAGTTCACAGGACTCGGACCAAACAACATTTGCAGATTACACCAGTTGTCGAACAGAAGGTCCGGGTCTAACAGCCAGGTGTCCGGTTCTGACAGGGACGAGACGTCCAAGTTGTGAAGCACGATCCTGAGTCGCACACAGTCCAACCTGAAGGCGCCCGGCCTTGAAGACGTGCAAACACTCGGAACCCCAAAACAAACTTCGTTTTTCCGAGAGTCGCGATCTCAGCCATGTGAGCTGTGTCTGGAAGCTCAACCGGCTGAGTGTCGTCATGCGCTACTTTGGGCTTCACTCCTGCAGAGATGACTGCTGGCAGCGCCGACACATCGCCGCAAAACTCCCGGATCTGTCCTGTCTTGCCCGGTTGCACCACCACCGGTGACAACGTTGGTGCAGTCGTCGCCCAAGCTTCCAGGTTTGTTGTGGTGGAAAAGGCTTTGGAGCAATCCGTGGGACCTGCGGACGCCAACAGCCATGTCAATGTCGTCTCTCAGTGTGTAAAGCTCCGCTCATTGCGTTTGTCAACTACGGATCTGTTTGGCCGCAGAGAAGAAGACAGATTCGCGCGGGGTCCTGAAATGACTTCGTAGTTCTCTGCCGGCACCCTGTGAGCATCACCACCAGCAACGTGACAGCCGCCATCAGGCCAGTAAGCAAAGAAATTGCCTCGGAGAGAGCTTCACCCCTGAAGTTGAGGTGTGCGGGAGGGCTTCCGTGAGATGGCTGGTTGTCCTCCGAGGAGCAATATACCGTCAGTTTGCACCTCTGGCGACATGCCTCGTAGTTGGCTTCTGTAGTCCTGTGCACCAGGGATCGTCTCGAACCGGTCACGACGCTAGAGTGCCCCGCCCCCGCGAGTGCCTGAAGCTGAGGAACATGTCGGGTGGCTCGTATCGGAAGCCACGCTCCGCACAGTCCGACAGTGTTACCGGAGCTGTCGGCTCCTTCCGGCTCACGAAACCCTCCTTAGCCAAGACAGGTCCATGTGGGCCTCTTATGGCCTCTTGCAACTCTCACGGCTACTGGTAGCCAAGCAGCTGGGCAAAAGTGCTGGATATACTCACCGGCCACGCAGTCTTGGGCAAACATTGTGTCCCGGCGGGCGGCATCCAGTGTTAGAGGGAAAGGTGGCCCATACTCCTGCAACACGCCGTGCACAGAGCCCCTCCCACAGTTGCTCGCCAAAGCACATGACTTGCTACCGAAAAAGCCCGTCTGCCTGCGACGCATCCTCAATCCAGCAGCCATAATTCGGAGCATACGTCCAGTATTGACATCTGAAGTCCGAGTAGCACATGTGCTTGCAAAAGGATATCGCATCCTGTACGTTCCTCAGTCGACCCAGCTTCAAAACCAGACACGTCGTGCTGTCAGCGAGATACGGCCTCTGCTACCAGGTTTCTGAAAGAAGCCCTCGTCATTGTCGAAGCCTTTCCACAAACCTTGCAACACGACACCACAAGAATGAAGGCTCTCGGGACTTGGCAGACCGCAACACGGTCCCAGCCGAGCTTTATTCGTGCAAAGCTGCCAACTATCTGATACCCGGTCAGGTCCTTCAGCACGCGTACAGACCCATGCTGAAGCCGTTGAGCTTCTTTTGGCATGAAGTTGCCACGGACGAAGCAGTCCTGGCAGGGGACGCAGTCTGTCCGACGCGGTGCGCATCCAACTGTTGAAGTGTTGAACTGCTGCGCATGTGCGCGGCCTTGCCAAGCCCCTGCCAACAGCTGTTGTAAACCGTCTTCTGCCAGGATTGGCACTCAGGATGCTGGCGGCAGTTCTCGCCTGAGGCTCTACAGATTGGAACAGGTGGGTAGTAGCATGACGGCAAGTAAGCGGAAAGCCGCACTTGGATCCGTTGATCTCTTTCATCTCCTCAGTTCAACACCATAGATGATTATGTTTCCCGCGCTGCTCGCCCACTTTGAGACCAAGGATCTACAAGGCCAACACATTTCCCCGGCCACCCGTTCTTCGTGTCGTCGAGCACGTCGACCTACGGCAAGCTGGCAGATCCACACTACCCAAGCAGCACTGCCGGAGCCAGCAACAGGCCTGAGTGCAAGGAAGGGGCGCCCCGTCCCAACTCTTTGGCCAGCACTCCAGGCCGTAGGGCTGCTTGCCACCTCAGCGCCAGTAGTCCGACTTTAAACCCCCGGATAGTCCCCGGATGTCTCCGGCCTGGCCAGGCACTGTTGGAGGCTTCTGCAGACTGGCCCGGGAAACCATTCCCTGGCGTCTCGGTGCTGCACCTGGCACCGGTGCTCGTTTACTTAAAAACTCCGAGCAGGACTGCCCAGCCTTGCAGGCAGGTGCATTCCTTCTGCATCGCAGGTTCTGTAGCCTACAAGATGCTGCGATCAATGACAGCTGCGTCTGCGCACATGATGCAGACAGCACTCCGCCTACGATCAAGTACGGGCTGTCGACAGGAACTTCGACTGCGTTGATGTCCTGATGGATGTTTGTCCAGAGTCCCTATCGCAGTGGAAGTTTTCTCACATGTCTCTGCTTTCATGCTGAGGCAAAGGCAGCGAACCAACATTCTCCCCAGAAGGCCCTGTAGGAGAACTTGACGCACCCATCAACATACTGGCAATGCTCTTGGCAAAGCCTTGGCTGTGCTACCACAATGGCTGCGCAAGGCTTCGCAAAGAAAAACTTCTGCCGGGCAGCTTGAGACTGGTTGTGTTGATGTTCTTGTTCGGTATATACCGGTCAAATTTAAAACCTTATCGGGCAGCCAACCACTTGACCGACTGCTCCACACGCTTGCATGCTGGGCTTGAGTTCTCCCATCCTCCCATCCCACTATGACCTGGCCTCTGACAAAGCAGCCCAGCGGGCTGCCTTGCATGAAGGCCACATCCTCATTGGTCTGGGCTTGCAGCAGGGACACCTGCGGGGTTCTGGCAGCCCTTTCTCTCAACTTCCGTGTCTGGTGACGCAGCTCCGAGAGAAGCCGAAGTGGCCTGCAGCCCGAGGCCCAGGAAAAGCAGCAGCCGCCGGGCCATGCGCTCCGGCCGGCGTCCCGCCGCGCACCTCAGCCCCGCTTTCTCGGCACCAGAACACCAGGGCATTTCTCCCCTGGCCTCCAAACTTCAAACCAACGATCGTGTAATTTAGAGCTTGAGCCCACATGCAACGAAAGGTCTGTCATCATTTTATCATGTCAATGCCTCTCCGTTGGCTCTCAGCAGCAAGTGCTCACCATCAGGTACGATTCACGTTCGAACCGCATTGCCGCGTTGCTGCCCGTGCCGAGCTCTCAGTCAAACCGTACGAATAACAGCACATCGAACCCACTCCAGAGGCTCGAAGAGCCTTTCAGAAAGCCCTGCATGCTCTGCCTGCTCCACCTGCTTCGCCTTCGCTCGAGCCGCAGCCCCCCTGAGTCGGATCTACATCCACTTTAAGAAGACTCCATAAAGCTGCTGTGGGTCCCGGACCTCTTCGAGGAGGCAGGGCTCGGGACGACCTCACTTGACCAAGGCACCCTTCACGAATCCCGCTTCGCTGTAGCAGGTCGCGTCATCCTTCTTGGCTCTGGCTTTTGCCAGTATAGTCGGAAGGATGCATTTGGATGTGAGGCTCCAAGTCCCGGCTCTACGATGGTTCACACAAACAGGCTACTACAATAACTGCCATGAACCCTGCACTTCGGCTACATCCACTCTTTCCTCAAACACAAAAGCAGCAGCCACTAGTCTTCATCATCTCCTGCCCCAACTACTGGCCTCCAGAATGGTAAGCTCTTCGATGTCACTAAGGTCGCAGGTGCCTGGGCAATGTCGGTCATACTATCTGCGGCGCAATGCAGGAGCAGCTCTGCCGCTCTAAGTGCTCCACCGTCCAGGACGCATGTCTTTGAGCTCCCTGTGTACGAAGATGGCGTGGCTGGTGTAGCTGGCAGAGTTGTCTCTGCATCGCAATCAACGTGCGCGATGCCAGGCTCGCCAAGTCCAAGAGTGTCGAGAGCCGTCTTCTTCAGCCCACACTCAACTGCAGAAGCATTCTCGCAGCTCACTACCTCAGCATCGCAGTCCTTGGTTCTTTGCTGTTCTTGGCTCACGGAGCAAACCTAGAGTGCGAACCGTGCCGAATTGGAAGAGGGCCGATATGGCAAAACGATCAGCTGCCAGATGCTGGCCAGCATCCGCTTCTGCTCCTGTCTCTGGCATGAACTGCGACCTCAGCTCCACAGTAATCTTGCCACCCAACGCCATGCAGACAGACTAGGCCGCCAGCAAAACAAGTGTGCGCTGTCCGGAACCTGGACAGATCTAAGTATTTCCTGTGATTCGAGCCGCAATACCCAGCGCCAGTGAAGCAAAAGAAGTGCCATTGTCAGCCCATCAAGTGCCTTGCAGCAGCGGCATAGCCTGTGCCCTTCGTTATGTGGAGCACTGTGCAGGGGAAATCTCTGCAGCAGTAGCAAGAGACTTTCTCACAACGTCTTTTTTCCAAGATGCCGATGCCCATTTAGTCTTGATCGCGGCCTTGTACCCTGCCGCAAGGCATGACTGCGAGAAGCAAAACAGGACACTTTTGGGCAATAGACCTGGTGGCAAGCTGCTTACAGCCTGCAAACACCCCTAAGGCGAGCAAGAGAATCCAATGACTCCCTGTCTCATTCGGACTCGACGAGGAGTGGCCTTAGGCCCTGAGACCTCGCGCGGTCGAGGGGGCGGAGGTCGCATCTGTTCCAGATGGCCTCATCAATGAAAACTCTAGATGCCTCCATGCCTCCTGGACATGAAGGGTTGACCAGACGCTGATCGACATGCAGAGACAAAGCGAAAACTTAATTGGTTGCCGCAGTTTTTGCGAATCTCTTCAGGCAAAGCGCTTGCCTGCAATGGACCTTCGTATGTGGGCGGTGGCCCAGATTCAAAGCACGTCTATGTACAATCACTTTTGCAGAGGTCCACTGGTTTTGTCCTGAGCACAGGCTTGAGCATCTTCAAGAGGTGGGGTCGCGACGCCACCTGCCTTGATCGATGCGAAGTCGAGGTCCAGCAGCTTTCTCAGCAGCACCAGGAAGTTGGGGAAGTCTGCCTGGAAAGCGGGGACTTGATCAAGCATCGGCTGAACCTACCAGCAACAACCTCGCAATCTTTGCCCTCTCCCAGCCTCCGGCTGCTTGTTGCAGACCTACAAGAATTCACGATCTCACCTCCTATCACATGGGAGCGGAGGCCACCATGCCTCGGCGAAGATCTCCTCCAGCTGCTTCGTGCGGGCGTCATTCAAGGGCGTGATTCCGTGAATCATGGCCCGGAACTGACGCGCAACAGAGCACCCAAGGGAATCCACGAGACTTCGTGACGTTGAAGCTGCCAGGCACCTCATCAAAGCCCAGGTCTTGCGAGTCGCCGAGGGAACTCAGGAAGAGCTCGCGAGACCTCGGTCCGCAAGCCCGGGAACTGTCCCTCGTCTCGTCACAGCAGAGCCTGTGGAGCCACTAGGAGTCAGACTCAGCCACCTCCTGGTTGCTGAAGCCCGTCTCCTTGCACCGTCCATGAAAACCAGCAGAGGCCGGTGCGGACCAGAGTCAACAGCTGAAAGAACGCGGAGAACAAGAACACGACCACTGCGCAACAGGTGGGTGTCATCCGGCCTCGCGCTCAGTCTTAGCAACTCCAACACCAAATCCCGTAAGAAATCTGCGCCGTTCGGCAAGCAGATTCAAACTACGACGGGTGCCAGCTGGGTGCCAGGTACACACTTCAGCACCGGCCCGCTGTTTCAGGCAGCTATGCCCTTCGCAGTTGTTCCTGCGGAGATGAATTTCTCACGCCACAAATGCCCCCAGGCAAGCTGGAAGTCATTCAACCCGCGCCACCAGCTCCCATAGGCTTGCCCGGTTGTCCATACGGTTTCTGGCTTATGGCAACCCCTCAACCACGCATTCACCACCCAACTTGAAGCTTTGGGCCACCCGCCCAACCCCAGGTCCACGGCTCGTGCCACCCAGCCGGAGGAGAGCACCCCAACCTGAATCTGTTGAGGGACAACGAGCGCATTCCCTGAATCAAGGGGTAAAGGACTTTTTTTGCAGTGGCCGCGGGCGTGGCCGCGGGCCACCCGTCGCAGCCTGTGCAGGCCGCAGAGCGCAGGAAGCGGGCCGCGGGCCGCAGGCCGCAGCCGTGCGGCCGTGCGGCTGCCCGCGGCGCGGAACCCCAAACTCCAAAAAGGAGTGGGTCGGTGCGAAACCCTGAACCCTAAGTGGAGTGAGAGGCCACGAAACCTCAAATGCTTGATGGAGTGAGAGGTCACGAAACCCTGAACCCTAAAAGGAGTGGGTGGCTGCCCAAACCCTGGGTGGCTGCCCAAACCCTAAAAGGGGTACATGGATGGGTACGCAGCCCTGAACCCCAAAACGGAGTGAGTGGCTACCAAACCCTCATACCTCAAAAAAGGAATGGGTGCGTGCGAAACAAGCCCTAAAGGGAGTGGGTGGGTGCGAAACCCCAAACCCTAAAAGGAGTGCGTGGGCGCGAAACCCTGAGCCCTCAAACGAGTAGGTGTGTGCGAAACCTTGAAGCTGAAAAGGAGTGGGAGGCTGCGAAAAACCCAAACCCTAGAAGGAATAGGTTTAAATTTAAACGACACCCCAAACCTGTCGCTCTTGACCGTGGTCACGGCCTGCTCGCGGGCCGTGGACCGCGAAGCGTCGCTACGGGCAGCCGTGTGCAGCCACGTGAACACGGTCCACGTGAACGCGAGCCGGCGTGGGCGTGGGTCGCGGGCCGCGTGGCCGCGGGCTGCCGCATGGGCCGCACGTAAATAATACTACTATGGAATCAAGAGCCTGGCACAGTGACGAAAGTCGAGACACCGGAGGGGGCCTGGATGGCCTGTTGCTCTTTCCTCAGCCGCTCTTTGTCCTGCAGGCACATCGACGACTTGGATTGCTCACAGCCAGCCAGAGGTAGCCTTGAAGGCGCTGAAGAGGCCCAGGAGCTTCAAGAAGGCAGTGAAGTCCAAGCCTCGGTCCGGGACTGCCAGCGAAATCTCGAACCTCTTCACGCCACTCTGCCCCCGGCTGCCGGTGGCTTCCTGGTCCGCCTCCCAAGGTATGAGAATTCATAGCCGTAGCCTCCCTTGAGACCGTCTAGAAGACAAGGCTTACTGCTACTTCTGCGATTGCAGCAGGGTTCCCTTGCGACGCTGAAACCCGAAGCCCTTGACCAGCGTGATCTGCCGGGCCTCTCGCAGCAGAGCCAGGAGCTGCGGCCGCTTAGACCTTCCGAACAAGAAATTAACAAAAAGTGTGCAACTCAGAGTGTAGAGATATAGATGCATACAGAGCTGTAGATATCGATATAGATATACAGATACATATTTTGATGCAGATAAAGGTACAGATGAGATATAGATGCAGGTATAGACATCGATAAGGATACAGGCCTAGATGTAGTAACAATTGTATGTAAATATGACATAAAACACATATAAATGCGCCTCTGCACACACACACACACACGCACACACGCACACACGCACCCACACGCATGCAGACATGAATCTATGTTTTTGTTCTGTATATGCCTTCGTTCGCCTGCTGCATGGTGCAGTCTCTCTAGAGCTCATACCAATACATATACATGCATATGTACATATATATATATATGTGTGTACTTACTTATTCAGTGTATACATGTATATCTAGTCAGTTCTCTTTACATATATTCATTTATATTTGCCTATTTCTATCTATTTGCTTACAAACAAAACATATGTTTTACATATACATACACACATAGTTATGTGCACATATATATATATATATATATATATGTATACATACAATTGTAGATAGGCATGGTAAAGACATAACCACGTAGATGTATAGATGTATTCATGCAGATATATTAATGTAAGAATTCGTGGGCATATAGCTGTACAAGCTTCTAGAAGCCGGAGCCTTTCTTTGGCGAGCTCTGGCACCACATCCTCAACGAGTTGAATCAGCCTCGGCGACTCCGTCTCTGACAAAGAGCAGCCTGCGTGTGCGGTGTACTTGCACCGGCATGCCCTTTCAGGACCTGGCTCGTTCTTGGTGACTCGCCCTGAGCCATCCAAATCATAGCGCTTGAAAAAGGAGCGCAGCTCCTGCACCTGATCCAAAACGCAGCCAAACTTCAGTAGCTCAAACTTGGCAGAGTTCGCGACTCAGGACAACTTCCTCGCTGCCATCTGCAAGCCTCCGGATCCGTCCAGCCACCGTTTCTCTTGATGGCCTGTAGGGGTTGGAAAACGCAAAAGTGATGCACACAGAGCATCTGGTAGAGACATGCATGTGTCGGATTGCAATCTTACGAACCACCTCGCGAGTCGCACGACAATGTTTCTGACATGCACCTGGCCGGCACAGAAAAAGAAGCGGAAACATCCGCAGGGCGCCACAGACTTGACTGAACAAGAAGCCGGTGAGACGCAAGAAGCCGTCCCGGGGCACCTCATCAAGCATGTGTGAAGACATCCCATCTGACCACATACGCACATCTACATTCATGCTTTTGAGAAGGGAAACGAAGTGCAGGGCGAGAGGCACGGGACTAAGACTTCTCACAGTAAGATGGACAGCACAATGCTCCAGAATCCACTGTTCAACCTCCGTAATTGGGCCCCTATGCCATCACCGTTCCCATCAGATCCAAGATGCTACAACACCGATCCCGGGCAGCGGCAAGGGCATGTCCACATTGCGGAGGTACTCCTCACGCAGGAAGTTCAGCTCCGACAATAGCAAAGGCTCCACATAATGAGGGCAGCACCTTGTTTTCAAAGCCAAGACCTGCGAAGGCCTGCGCTCACGCAACTCCTCTTTCCACATAGGCGCAGCTTCAAAGCAACCGTGGCCTGAACCGCCTCCGTCATAGTGATGACCTGAATCAGTCTTCGCAACGAGCAGAAACTCACTGTTTCGGCAAGTTCCCAGTCCTACCTTCAAACTGCATGGATCGCGCTCATCAAAGGCCTCAGCATCGCTGTTAACTTCCCCCCGCTGCGATGTCAGGACACACAGACTCAGCAGGTGCCTGCTGAAAGCAGACCATGTCGCGCTCCTTCCATGCTTGCTTCAATTCAAACTCTCTGGACTTCTTTACTACGGACCCGACGGAGACATGCATTTTTGAGATCATCCTGCAGCATGCGGACCATCTTGCGGAACTGTCGCCTGAACGTGCAGCATAGCCCTCTGTGCAAGTGCGAGCACCCTGCATAAGCCTTGTAATGATACGATCCAACATGCCAAGTAAGTGCAGCTCGGCTCTAGTCGATGAGAGTCGTCCACATCCACCTGTTGAGCTGAGTGCGACTGGCACTGTTGGCAGGTCTGGGCTTGATCTGCCCAGAAAAGAGTGAACAATAGTTGCTATCTGACGAAACAACCGGGACATACCGGGACCTACTGGTTTTGGAGACAGCGCCCCAAGCTGGTTGCACACTACCAGGATTGTTTCTCAGCAACTGAACGATCCTTCATTTAGCAGCGCCCGCATCGCTTCTTACTCAACCAAGCAAACACCGACAGCATACATGCAAGGTTGCGACACCCTCAGCTAGGTCTGTTTCAGAAGGGCCCGCCTGCCGCAGGACACTCTGCATGGCCTACCAGCGGACCAAGGCTAAACTTGATGAGATCACGTCCGCATGTGCGCGTGTTGCCCGTCCGTTCCTGCCGAGCAAGCCTACCGTGCTGACGAGACACGAAAACCGGAGTCACAACTTGCTGGCCTCGAAGCTGACCTTGTAGCCAAGGTCGCGAACAGCAGATGGCACCTGCCATAGCACAGCAACTTGGCCCAGCACTGGAGACCCTCAATCCAAAGGCCTTCCCCAAACTTGCCCAGCCTGAAGCTGAAATTCCAGAAAATTCCTGAGCTGAAAACTTTAAACCTAAAAATCTTTTCCGCCTCCAGGGAGTTCAGCTCGCCTGAGCCGTCCTGGCCGCGAAGGCTGGCTGGTATTGGAATTCAAGATGTAGAGATGAACTAGAGTCTAGGTGGCCTTGGGACATACGCTGCTGTCATCTGTTTTACGGGATTGCGGTCTAGTGGTGGTTCGTTGATGGCAACACCTCACGGATTGTCGAACTGTGTTCTCAGTGCCTTTTCAAACTTGTGGACACCAACCGAACGTCCGGGACGTGAGTTCCTCTGGAAGAGCATCAAGATTCATGGGTGCAACGTTAAGGCGGTGCATCCCGAGCTAATATAACTTACAGTGCTCCCTTTAAGTTGTCAACGCATGGTGCCCCAGTAACCGCTTTGAACCACAGCGACCTGCTGAAAGGAATGCCTTCAAATGCGGCTGTACGACCTGCAATATGAGAAACATGCACCTAAAAATTAATACTTCCCAGTGGGATAGAGGATTCGCGACAAGGATCAAGATTAAAGATACCTAAGTTGAAAGAACCTGATGAATCATCACTAGAACTCTTAACAGCATGGCGTGTAGCGAACAAGTCAGTGGATACAGACTGCCACTATTTATTTGCACGCAAGCAAGCGAGTGAGCGAGCAAGCAAGCAAAACTCCACAAAATCGTTGCAGCCAAATCTGCACGGCAATGAAGTGCAGCGCAGCTAAAAGGACTGCAAACCGTATCTAGTTCCGTTCCGCAAGACATCCACTCCTGATCGTTCCTGCGGAAAGCTGCATCAATGCTCTGCAGCTCCTCGTTCCGCATGCCCTGCGGCACATCTCCAGATCAGAGTGGCGAGAAGCCAAGCTTGTTGAAGTCAAGAGAACGATTGAGATACGCTTGAGTTGACTACCTGTGACTCCGGGCTTAGAAGCCGTGGTTCAGAGTGGGCCTTCAGAAGAGCCCCGCTGCACGAAACAGATTGCCAGGCCATTCGGCCTCTCGCTGGCGGTAGACCAGCAAAAGCCGCCAGAGAGCACTCAAGTCCAGCCTGAATCTGATCGCTTCCGCTTCGCTCTGCTTTCGGCAAAGTACCCCGAGCCGGCGACGTGCTCATTCCCCGAAGCCCAGCTTCCGATGCAGCCTCTGTGAGGCATAATGACTGCTTTGACAAAATGGCTCGGTAGATGGAGCCGAGACTTAATCTGAATCTAATTGTGGCAGGTCACCTCGCTGATGGCCTGATTGTCCCACATGTCGTACCCCAGCTGCTTCAGAACGACCGGGACATCCTCATGAAGACGGTCACGCACAACAGTATCTTCGAAAAAGTGTTTCATGGAAGCGTAGATGCAGGAAGAGTCACGGACTGCTGTAGGCAGATGGTGCCATTGGTATTCTGCCCTGAAATGGTGGCCAGCACGCGACGGACCTTGCAAAGAAACGTCGCAAGGTGTCTAGGAATCAGACCCTCAGCACAGGCAGAGCCTTCTGTAGCTCGTGCTCTCGCACCTTGCGGAGGCCTCAGTTTGCTTGGAAATCCGAGAAACGTCTTTCGTGCAGATGCTTGCAGCAGCTATGCCCTAAAAGGGCAGTCAACAACATCAATATGGCCCTGCGCTCTACAAGTAGCTTTCAGGCTAGAGCCGCTTGGCAAGGATAGAGTTACTTAGGAAACTTTCGCGCTGCTGTACAAGTTGAAATGGTTGATGTTGTGAATGCTGCAGCAGTAATCTTTCGTACTCAAGAAACACAGCCCTTGGGTGCGTTTTTGCAAGCAAGGGCACACCTCAAGTACTCACGGTGGTTCATCACACCCGTCAGCTTGACGTTTGAATCCTTCATAATCGGCAGCAGATCCTCCAGTGTCATAGCATAGCCCAGCCTGCAGACCGACGTGAGCGGATGCCAACAGAGCATGCTTGACGAGAAGTCAGCACCACTGAAATCGCAGTTTAGCTGCCAATTCAAGACCGCATGGAACTCTTGCGCATCGATGTTGCCGCAATTGTCTCTGTCGAACCTTGCCTGCATGTTGGAAACAATGGACTCAAGTCTTTGTGAGAGAACTGGGATCGGTGAGCCCGGAGCTCATTACAGCCATGTTGCAAACATCTCCATGAACTGGTCGTACTCGCTGCTAGTGAAGCCCTCCCGAAGGATTAGCAAGTCCATGAGGTGCTTGAACTCCTCGTACACCAGCTCGCCGTGTCCTGCCTGGCAGCATTTGGACGCTTATCCAGCCTGCCTCCTTTCTGCCCACATCGATAAAAAAAAACAAATGCATTTCAGCTCAACGATGCTCAGCGATGTTCGTATGCGACTTGGGCTGGCCTCGTCCACCTCTCGAATGACTTCATCCAGCACATGAGTCCTGGGTCGCATTGCTGTGGAGTATGCAAGATGAGCGCAGCATGGAATGTCTAGATGTGCACAAGCGCCCGAGGTCTTGGCATAGGCTCAATGTGGAGTTTCTCGAGAACCTGAGTTCTGCATGAATCTGAAGAATCTGCACAGGGGCTTCGTGATCCGGCGCCATGTTAGATGCTCGCTTCTCGACCCGTGAACCTGTTTGAAGTGAGCTAGCTGATACTGGCAGAATGTACAAGTCACCTTGCCAGCTGTTGGTTCTCTAGGGTTGCTTCCGACACAAAAAGTGAATGAATCAAACGAAACGAAGCATGCTTCTTCCTTCAGTTCATTCATTACATGTGTTTCATTTAACTGTTCACTTAGCTCCGCTTGTGTTGCTTACCTTTACAACCTAACACAAGAGCCGAGTCAATGGCCGGTTTCTTGCAGAGAAAACACCGATAATCAACCTAGATGGTGAAGGTAGGTTGTCTGAACTAGATTATGAACTGAATCCAAATCTGTAATGGAAAAACACACTCACTTACCCCTCTCTCTTGTTTCATCAAATCGAAACCGACAAGAAGTTGCAGCGCCTTCGGAATCCTGGAGTTAGTCGAGGACTCTTGAGACGCAATGCGAGTCGCCTCCGCCAGCTCGGCAGACTCCACGGTGCCGGATTGATCGAGATCTGCCTCCAGGAAGGCGTCCTGAACAGAAGCCGCGATGTTGAGTCTTTGCGGCTCAGCGTTGATGGGATTTGATGTAGGATGTCTTGTGTCAATTTGAGGAAAACCTCGTCCATGATAATCAAATCCACTGCTACGAAAACCGAACTCTTGGTCTTGTAGCCTCAGGCAAGAGTTCTGACTCACTGTCCTTGTGAGCCTTCTCTTGCAGGACCTCATAGCCTTTCACGAACTCGAGGAACTCTTCCAGCTCCATGGTGGCGGACTTGGTCACCTTGTCCTTGTCTTTGAGTTTGCTTTGTCAGACTAGGCGTGTCACCGACATGAAAGCATGACCCGCGTGCGGATCAAGGAGCGCGCTCTGACTGAACCCATTCCTTCTTGATACCGACGAAGCCACAGAGCTCCAAGCCGCGCGGCAGCTCGTCACAGAACACTTGTCCTTGCTCTTGCAGCTTGCCGAAGACTTCAGCCTAGCAAGGGCCAGATAAAGGAACGAAAGTCGAAAGGTCTCTGAGAAAACTTTGAAAGGCATATGCGCAAGTGTCAGGCAGGTGACCCGCACATGATCCTTCGTGATCGTGGAGGCTCGAGCTGTCGACTGCGCCGCTGGCGGCCTTAACTGCACTACCCCGTTGTCAAAGGCATGGCTTCAGCTTGGACATCGCATCGTTTGAGTGCACCTCCCCTGACATGATTCAGAAAGCTTCAGCTCGAAGTCCGATTTTGGACGAACGTTACCTTCTTCCGGGAAGCACGCAGGCCCCTAGAATCCACCAAGGCAGGGCAGGATCTGGATGTCTAAACCCCGGTGAAGAGCTTTGAGGGGCGAGCACATCCATGCCGCTGCCTCAGTGGGACTTTTTTGCTAGGGCCATGCGCGCGGTGCTGCGGGCTTTGGCGCCCTCTCTAGGGACTCAGTGGGACTTGAAGGACTTTAACTTTGAAGTTTTGGACTCCTCTCGCAGCCGATACAGAAACAGTCCCCACTGCAGGAAGGGCACTCAGCCGAGCGCTGTCGTCCTTCAAGGTGCCGGCCCTCGTGCCTGAGCTCGAGAAGGATCTGCTGCACATACATTTATCGACAGGTAGAATTAGAAGGGCCCACATGGAGGTTCTCTCTGGCTCGGAAGATCAATCCAAGCGACCTGAGCTGGACCCAGGCGGCTGGAAGGAGCTGCTGGGGCTCAGCAAGCCCAGGCCGTCCTGAGCTCCTCCATGGCCTCCGTAATGGCCTGGACACTTCAGAGACAGGGAACACTGATGTTAACAGACTGCTCATACACTTACCTCCAGCTTTTTGACCAAGAGGGCTTCGCAAACCCTTGCCAAAGCTTGCACCGCCCTCCCGTTCGTTGTCCCGCCAGGACCTGCTTCTGCGTGATGCTGCGCCGAAGACACGAAAGAATGGCCAGCGGCTTCGACACCTGGTGGACACTCACCGAACTGCCAGCGCACTGAACTGGAAGAACAAGGTTAGCAAAAAGGTAACGCCACATGAAACGACCCGCGCGATAGCAGGGGTGCATTTTTAGGCAAAATGGCAGTTTTCACCGAGGCAAAACGATGATTTCTAAATCCGCCGAGGCCAGAGGCCCAGGCGTCTTGATGGTTACCTCAGGTACCCTCCACCTAATCCTCCTCCCTGCAGCCCAAATGTTTCGTGACACCCGCTTTTTGCGTTCGTTTGTCACCCCTTTGTCCGGCTTCCCTTCATTTTACCTGATTTGTCGGCCTCGCCCCCCCCTCCCAGGCCTTCCCCTCCCCCCCCCTTCCCCCCCTCCCCCTCCACCCCACCTTGCCCCGTTCTCCTCGCACTTGGGTATCAACAACCGTGTAAAGGTTGGGGTTGAGAGGCCCCCCTAGCATGTATACAACATCGACTGCCCCCTCGCCCTGCCGCTAAACAGCCGAGGCGGGCGGCGTAGCGTTAAAACCTGGTGGACACTCACCGAACTGCCAGCGCACTGAACTGGAAGAACAAGGTTAGCAAAAAGGTAACGCCACATGAAACGACCTGCGCGATAGCAGGGGTGCATTTTTAGGCAAAATGGCAGTTTTCACCGAGGCAAAACGATGATTTCTAAATTGTTAGACCTTGTTTTGGGAAACATCGTTGCCCAACCTGGAAAGTCTTCGGGACTTGCTTTCGTCACTGTTTTATCTTTGGGATTCGTGTTTTTGGTGCTTTTTGCCTGGGCGAAAGCAAGGTTTTGCATTTGATGGCATCATTGTCCGGCAGCATGTCTTTGCAGCTTTGGATCAAGGCGTTTCTAGATTTCGGTCGCTGTTTGGGTTTGTGGGGCTTCGGTGTTACCATCCCTTTGTAGTCTTCGGCGGGGTTGCGCAAAATGGCAGTTGTACCGAGGTAATAGGAGGATTTCTGCTTTGTCAGTTCTTGTTTTGGGAGACAGCCTTGGGCAACTTCTACAGTCTTCGGGTCTTTCTTTCGTCATTGTTTCATCTTCGGAAGTAATGTTTTTCGTGGTGTTGCCGAAGCGAAAACAAGGTGGTGGGATGTCGGGTTTAAGCTTTGAACTTGAAGGTTTTGGGGTTTGCACTGCTTCGCCAGGGCCTTGGATGCTGGTTTTAAGCTTCTAGCTCGAGGGTTTTTGGCCTGCACGCTTGGAGGATTTGGGCTCAGACGCTTTGTAATTGTTTCCCATGATAGGATGACAGTATACTATTATGGTATACTCGAATAGCTCGGGTTGTGAAGGTTCAAGAGCCCCTGACCTTGTGCTTTCACTCTGGCTTGCTTTGGGATGCCTTAAGCCTGACCCAAAACCCACGTTCAGCAGAAAAACTGGCCCAGCGTAAGTATGTTGGTCTGCAAACGCAAACTAACTAAAGAGTGTTTGGTTGTAAGACCATGCAGTACAGGTGCAGCAGCAGTGGCAGCGCAGCATGGCAAGGGTGGTGAGTGCAGCAGAAATTATGGTTGTAAGACTATGCAGTACAGGTGCAGCAGCGGTGGCAGCGCAGCAAAGCAAGGGTGGTGAGTGCAGCAGAACTTATGGTTGTAAGACCATGCAGTACAGGCGCAGCAGCAGTGGCAGCCCGCAGTAGCAGTGGCAGCTGCAGCAGTAGTGGCAGCAGCAGCGGCGTAGCAACGGTGCTGGTGCAGCAGAACTAAAAGTACGATTAGTAGCCCTGCTACTCCTAGGACTACTCGGTAATGGACGTCGTCAGACAGAACGAAACTGGGCCCCCCACCCACCCCGGCCCCAACACCCCAGAAGCAGAAAGAAATAAACAAGCAAAAACAAGCATGACTCGCGGGTCATTTGGTAGTGCGTTAGCAAGAACAAGCCTGCCACGGCGGGAGGAAGTGGGCGGTCGTCCTCAATGTTCTCCCCGACCTTGGAGCAATGCACTTGTATCCCTGGCTCCTCGAAAAGTAGGCTCAGCCCCAAACCTCTGATGCACTCCCATCGCGCCCTTTAAGGCGCGGATAGCTCCATGATACCTCCATGCACACAGAACAGACGTCTGCGAAGTGCCTGGGCCTAGGCAGCACGGCACCTCCGGCTCCGCCAGCACGCTCCGCCTGCATTGGCACGATGAACTTCCAGGCACGGCAAGACATGGCAGAACCCACCGCCTGGAGCCAGACAGACTGAGCTTGACTTTGGTTTTCCGAATACACACCACCTGCATGCATAAGCTTCTTGGCAAGCAGCATGTTGATACATGTCCTAATCCACAACAAGCTGAGGCTCCGGCACGTTCGTTGGACTCGGCCGCGAAATTTGAAAAGAAGCTCCTGGCAGAGTCTGAGTGGCTGCGCACCAACCCAAAAACCAATTTTTGTCTGTTGCCGGTCCTGTTTGCTTTTGGAGCGATCGGCAGCAGCTTTTCCCGACTCCGCGTCTCTCGTGCGGTCTTCGAGGCGCCTTGGCACACCATCCATCTTTTTGAAGATCTTGGGCATGCGAACTATTGTACAGATCTTTCTGTATACGCTGCACGACGATAAGAGAGTCAACGATATCTTCGCACTGCAGTCACTCCAGCGGAACTTGAGAATGCTGGAGACCTTGAGACATGACTCCCACAAGCATCCTCGGTCTTCTCTTGCACCCGAAGCCAGGACAAAGTCTTCGATCCTGGAGCTTTCAAGAGTCCGACGGACGGACAACGGCAGAGACCCCCGCAGGCCTGTGTGACGGCGTCACTCTTGGGACATTCCGAGGTCACCAGCCGACCTCGAAGATCCAGCAAATGAAGTTCTCACAGAGATCCCTGCTGCTCCGAGCCAAGCCACCCGGTATAGATGTCACACTCGCTGTGTGCTCACGACAAGAACTCCTTGGCACACTGCTTCCGTATGACCGACGAAAAGCCACTGATTCTCTGTCGGTCAAGGATCTGTGGGCTCTGCGGCTCCATTGGCGAATCATCTCCGATGGAACACCACGACATGTCACGGAGATCCTACGCAAAGGCATGAATGACGGTAAGATTCATGAATATCTCTTGTGCAGTTTGTGCTCCACTACGCAGATAGTAGCCTTGAAAGCTCGCGAAGCTCCGCGCTACTTCAGGACACATGCAAACTTGATGTGCTTTGAGGGAACCCCGGCAGTCCAGAAGTGGCACATCGTACTTCGGTCGTTGAGAAAGCTTCTTCCGCACCGGCGACGGTGGTAGAAGGGGCATCGCTTGGTCCCAAATGCCCTGCGACCGCCGAACGGGAATCACACCCTTCTCCTTGGCAACGCAAGGCACCGATTGCCCAGATAGGCTCCGATCCGCCTAGGCCTTCGACCCATGCGATGGGCGTTCGAACACAGGGACGTTAGCATTCTCCCCCTTCTAAAACTCTCCCCCAGTCCAAATTCTCCAAAAATTCCACTGCCAAGTTGCTAGTCGAGACAGCTCTGCCTCGTTTCTCGCAGGCAAGGTTGCCCAACTCGTAGCAGATAGGCCCCAACAATCAGATGCAGAGCTGGCTGATTCCACCCCTGCCAGAACAGCTTGAACAAAGGCTGACAGCTTCGCGTCAGCAGGCCTGCGCGCCGAGAACCAAGAAACGTGGTGGCAGTGCTGGCAAGCGTGGGTGGTGTTGCTGGAACTGTCCTTGGTCAAATGAGAAGCCGACGCACACCAATCACAAGTGCAGTATACCGACGATGTAATTTCCTGCAACCTCGATGCATGAATGAACCAAGCGTCTGATGATAAAGTGCCGGAAGTTTTCGTGAAGGCAGTGGCTCTCCACTGGGGGCCACGGTCATTCCTGGAATCTAGCTCCCTGCGCACTCTCATTCGCAAAGCTCTCACACTCTCGAGCTGTCGCTTGCTGATGAGCATCTTTCTCACGGAGGGGACAGCGTGTCCTGCAAGACAGACCAATCAAAGTCGTAGCGTAAATTGCGTCAATGGAAGACCCGGTCCTGGTAGCCTGAAAGCTTTCCAAGACTCATCCTAGGAGGCGTCCCCTGCACCTGTGGAGGAAGTGCCTACGATCGCAATGTGATTCTGAAGCATAACGCACTCGATGGGGAGGGGGGAAGCACCGCAAAGATGCGCCTCACTGTCCTCACATACCCAGCTTTTGAGACAACGCGCAGGCGCCATGTTGAAGCGCCGAGCATGAATGCATCCTCATATACGACCAAGAACAAGATGAATGTGACCCCAGTTGATGCTGCAACGCCTGCAACCTCGCTGAAGCACCATAAAAAGACCATCTTTGAGCAGCAGTTGCAAACGCTGATTGCTTCCATCAGCAATGCAATTGAAAAGGGCCTTAAACGCAACGGCAACGGCGTCCACCCGGCATACAATCACTGCATCAACCAATCAAGCTGGTAGATACCCCCGCCGGCTTCGCGTGCGAGAGAGTCTTGCCAGCGGCAGTTTGAAGGAGTAGGCCACAACTGCTTCTGCTTCGATGTCTAACATACTTCCAACATAAGACGTTGACATGTTAAAAGAGCGAGCAATTGCGACAATAGTTAGAGCTGGAGTACTCGTTCAATGGCGGTTTCTGGCTGCTTGGCCGGGCACCGTGAACAACGACAATCCTCCAAAAGCTGAATGTCACTGCCACAGCAAATCGCAACCACACAATAAACTTTTTCAGGCAGTGTCTAAGCAGTGTCTTCATTGGCAAAACGTCGAACATCGTGCAACATCGTTCCATGTTGCAGTCACCACGTCGGTCAGAGAAACGTCATGCAAGGAGATCCGAACCCAGGAGTCTACCCGGATTTGAACGTGGACCTCCGTTGTTCATCGAGTCCGTCAATTGCGCACAACTCTCATAACTTGCTGCGGGCTTCGTGTGCCTGTAGCAGGCATTGCAATGCCAGAGTTGGGCAGAAAACATCTGCGAAAATACTAGTGCACTCCGTGACATGACGATCCTTCAACAACCGATGCCCTGATCCAAGCAGGCCTGCTGGAAGGCTTTGCACCTGCTGCGAGGTGTGCAAGTCTGGATCCCCGGAGCGTGGGCGTAGACCTCAAAGGCCCTGCCTGAGCCCTTGGATAGCCTCCCAAGGTCATCCCATGGCCTCCTTGCACCTGCAAAGGAAACGAGAAAAGAATAAAGACTCGAGACGAAACCTCATCGAAGCGGACGCCTGAGTATAGCCTGCGCCCAGACCGCTTCCGGGCACCTGCAGATCATCGCGTCACACAAGGCTTTAGTTTCCACATCAACACAAATTTCCCACTGCATGCCCGATTACGAGACCATATCACGACAACGACGGCAGGAAATCCATATTCGACATCAGGGCATCTTGATATCCAATGTCTCGTCGCTGCGAGCAACAGTTGCCACTTCTTGCTCCACTCTACCAGTATATGACGTCAAACCAGAAGTGCTGCACCAGCTCAAACCAACTGCACATGTAGCCTGCATTGAGCCGGGAAATGCAGTAGACGGTGTCTGAGCTGGAGAGCGATGCACAGAAGGCGCCTGCAATGCGTTCGGGCACTCTTGAGTCTGCATGGTGCCGTGGTCGGCCGTGAGCTTCAACTGCGGAAACTGCTTGAGACCTGGCCTGGCTCGTCTGCGGCGAACGTCGACCTTGTCTCGCATGCCGGACAATCGGTCAGCTGCCACGATTTGCAACATTTTGCAACTCAGCATTAACCTAAAGTCGTGAAGTCCACTCAAGAGCTGCAGTTGCCGTCAGTGCTGGGCTGCTGGCTCATAGTGCTTCCTAGCTTCTGGTCCATGCCCTCGGTCACGGAACGGCAGAGACAGACGGGACAACATGGGACAAAGAACAGCTGGATCACACTGTCGACCCCATCTAAGTCCGAGATGTGTGCACTCGTATGAGATGTGCTGTCGAAGGCGAACCCAGGCTTCTGACAGGTCGAATTTGCAACGTCCGTGGAGCTGCCTCTCACAGGTTTCATCTACCAGGGACATGACTGCCGAGCTCACCCACAGCTGGCTGTTTCTGGCTTCGCGGAAGCACCACAAACGGAACTCTGCGAGGAGTGGCGAAAGGACGAAGTGCTTAAGGCCCGAGGGTCGCCACGGCACACTGGTCGAAAGTCTACGCCTGCACAGACCGGTTCTTCCTGCGACGTGTGCGACGCTCTCCTTCCTTTGCATGTGATGTTCACATGGCCGCAGCCGGCTTCCCAAGAAGGAGAGCTCCGATGAGCAAAGTCCCCCTGTCCGACACCACGAGCTCGGTCGCATCCCGTGCACGTGACTTTGCACAATCCGGCCTGAACTCTCAAAAGCAAATGCGTGTCGCAACCAGCCCAGATCATTTCGCAGAAAACCTTCCTTTGCCAGGTGTAGCGACGTTCCGGGAGCTCGGCATCCGGATCACTCCATCTGCAGTGTTGCGATGAAGCCGCAACTCTCTGCGCACGGCTGATGCTCTCGGATGCATGTTGCATTGATTCATGCCCTGATTCAAGCGTTCACCATGTAAAACTTCCTGGTTGTCACACGATGCTTTTGCAAACTTCCTGAATCAAAAGCCCTACTACCAACCAAATCTCCAATATGAAACGCTCCAAAAAGACACACAACGGGCCGAGCCTGCTGCTGCTGGTGCTGCATGTGCAGCTGCTGCTCAAGCTGCTGTGGATTCTGCTTCTGCGGGTACTGCTGGCTCTGTTGGAGCTGCTGCTTCGTAGTAGGGGAGACGCTGCCGCGGCAGCCACCCTCAGGAACCATGCACTGCTCTTACCAGATGAAACATTCCCGCTGATATGAACATCTCGCAGGATTCGCAAATTCAGATGATGCATAGTAAGTTCCATTGAGAATGCTACTCGCTGTTGACCGTCCGAAAATCTGGCAGGCTCGGGAAGCTCATTATCTGCACGACGAACTAGTACAGTCTTAAGCGAAATCGCTTGACCATTTGGCGCTGGAAAGGAAGCACGAATCACCGAGCGCCCAGCAGATCGCGATGGGATGCTGGTGCGGCTGTGTTCCCTAGGCACGCAAGCCGAAATGCATGGAAGGGCTGGTCAGCATCGTCGAAAGCTGAGGGCAAGTCGTCAAGACGTCTTTGGTGTTGAGGCTATCCTGTCAACCAACATGTTTTCAAACCTATAACATATATCTCCGCCATCTTCCACCATCATTACCACCATCGCTGCCACATTGTCATTACCAACACCGGGACGATGAGCCCAACATCTCTGCAGAACAGGTTTGTTGGGACAGCACAGAGGGTTGTTGGTTCCAAAGGGCCAAATGATTCGGAAAAAAGCCACTCCTGCGATGACAAAGCCCTGAAGTGCTGCTGTGTCCCCCAGATTCGGGATTCCAGGAAGCTTCCAGCTCTAGAGACATTTCGATGAAGGAGAACCAAACCAAAAGCAGCTGCCAAGTGAACGAGATGCAAGACAAAAAGGGGTCGCGTAGGTCTTGGGAGCAGAGGGGGACGCACATGTGTATCTATAAGACACATACTGTACACATGTACATACACACAAGTGATGCATGCACGCCCGCCGCAACCAATTCCTTCTAGGAACACCAGCTAGCCCTGCGCACACACGTACGTGCCCACACACACTAACCTAAACAGACATTTGCACACGCTCGCCGATGCCGAACGAGATAACATACACACGCGGAGTGATCTTGTCTCATAACTTGTCATTTCTTTTACGACACATGAGAATCACATCGATAAACATACATGCAGTGATATTCACATGACTGTATATACCTGCGCCGGCGATAGGTATGCCTGCATGCCTATACAGACAAGCTTGTACATGAAACTGTAAATGGACCTGTCCATGCATAGGTACATGTATGTGTGCATACGCCTGTAGATAGAGAGACGTTTTCCTACAGATTCATTCTCAATACACTTGCATCATATTTGGTGGCAATGTCGTGTGTTCAACTTCGCCACAAGACGAGGACGGTGTAGAAGCCAGCAAGGCTGCAGGGTAGAGCAGATGATGGGGAGATATGCAAAGCTCCAGAAGGCCGACAGATACCCGAATGCCCTCCGAAAAGGCCTGCAGAGCTGCAGCCCCAGCGGTCAGTCCTGATGGGTTACATGCGAGGAAACGGGGGGCAGAGCATATCTTGGCCTGTCATGCGCTGCTTCCAACATATTCCCATCAAACAGGTAGTAACATCTCGGGCCTTCGTCAACTCTTTTGATCAACGAGTGTAGGCGTACCTGCAAAAACAACGAGGCCAACACCCCGAATCTCTCCTAGATACCAAGCTTGAATAGCACATGTCCAAGGTGGGTGGGCCTTTGTTTGATCAGTGCGTTCCCTCATCGCCGCGGCCCCTTGAGACAAACCTTCGTCAATGCGGCCTCGGCATTGGGCCCAGACTTTGCAGTCGCATGCCACCAAAGTCTGCTGTCGAAGGGAGAAACTCGGCACCCAGCCGATCAAGCCTGCAAACAGCCGCAACGTCACACAAGCTCAAAATCGAGTCCACTATCAAACAGCTGAACAACCGACTAATGCGGGGAGCCTTTCATTGTCGTGTTCAGATCGCTTGACAGTTGACTGATGCTGGCCTGCCATAAGCAATAGATACACTGATTCCGAGGCAAAGATCGCATGGAGTGCGGATCCATCTCTCGGTCTCCTGACACTGCAAACTCATCAAACCCTAAAACCCCAAACACAGAGAACCGCAAAACAGTAAACCCTTAACGACCTGTTAGAAACTACAGCCAGTAGACTCTCAAAGTCGTAAGCCCCAAAGACCCTTAAGTCTCAGAATTCTTAAACCCTCAATGTACGCTAAACCCTAAAACGT